AAAACGTTCAAATCATTTTTGTTAGGAGGAAGGGAGTAATGGGATCTTTGTTAATGATTTCACAGACTTCTATTATATGGCATAGCAAACTTCAGAGTTCCTCTCTGCCACTATCTCTTGTTTTTACATTCTTGGTATCACACCCATCTTAGGTTCTTCTTCTGCACTTAATTTTTTTTCCTCTTGTAATTTTCGCCTTGAAGCAGATCTCTTCTGTGTTACGTACTTGGCAGACCATGCATGACCAGGATCAACAGTGCTGTTCTTGCTGTAAGGAAGGAATCAGTCAGTATTTTACGCTTGCAATTTCTCTAACTGGAGCTCACTGTCAAATTTTTAGGATGCCTACAGATTTTTCATAGCTAAATAAAAACAAACAAACCTTGTCAGCATCTTTGGATGTCTGTGCTCGGTTGTTTGTTTTAACTTGTGTGGCAATAGTTATGATGCCAGTCTTGGCAAGTGAACTCATTTAAGAACAGCTATATTTGTTGTTAGTGAATAAGTAGAATTAGTGTAGACTACAGGTTGTTGGTACAAAGTAGAAATACAGTCTTCAGAGGGCACTGAAAATGTAATGAAATTAATGCAAGAGAAACACTGTTAGATGAAAATGGAGAAGCAATACAGAGCACTCGCACAAAATGGAAAGAGGAGTGGTACTCAACTGGGCTGATGTACTTGTGTTTGGTTTCTTTTTCTTTGTTTGGTTTCAGTTTGGTTTCAGACTTTGGTATTTTGTTCTCTGGTTAATACTGCCGACGTCGTATGTTTTAGTGATGCACTCAGTGATGCAATAACACCAGGGAAAGGAGGAGCTCCCACCAAAAATCCTGTAAGTGGTTCCATTCTCTAGAAATGACAGCTGGGTTTTGTAATCTCTTCTAAAATGTAGGTCAGATGACTGCTGCTCCTGCAGAGGCCCTCTCATCTTTCTTCCAGCCCCACTAAGTTTCCAGGTGTCCTGTTTCTTCCCGTACAGGGGCAGTAATGCTGGAGCCATCACTCATGTGTTGTGTCCTCCTTTTTTTCCATAGGGGACAGTCTTCACTTTGGAATCCGAAGAGGAAGAGTACCCCGGGCTCATCGCAGAGGACAGTAATGACATCTACATCCTGACCAGTGACAACTCAGGACAGGTGAGCCCCCCGGAGTCTCCCACAGTGACCACGTCGTGGCAGTCGGAGAGCCTGCCCGTCTCCCTGTCAGCGAGTCAGAGCTGGCACACAGAGAGCCTGCCGGTCTCCCTGGGACCCGAGTCCTGGCAGCAAGTGGCCATGGATCCTGAAGAGGTCAAAAGCCTGGATAGCAACGGAGGAGGTGAAGAAAGGAGTGAGAACAACTCTTCCAATTCGGATATTGTTCACGTGGAGAAGGAAGAGATACCAGAGGGGATTGAGGAAGCAGTGGTGTCAGCTGTCGCTGCAGAGACCATGCAGGCAGCGTTTCCAGAAACCCCTGCTTCTTTACAAGAAATAAAACCTCAAGCTGAAATTGCTGCTCTTGAAAAAGCACATGCCTCTGCACTTCTGCTTACAAAACAGGAGGAAAAGGGAAAGGTGGCTGAAGAGCTTGTTGAACCTGAAATCCCTGTGTTAAGTAAACCTGTCCCAAAGTTAGCCCCATCAGAAGAAAAGCCTGCACCAGAACCTGAGAAAATACTGCTTCCAGGGGAAAAAAAAGTGGGGAAAGAGGGCTGCTTGGAAGAAATAGAAGAGAAATCCGCTGCAGAGGAGAAGCCTATTTTATTGCCGGAAGGGAAATCAATATTGCTGTACGGTGGGGCTGCTGCAGTAGCTATATTAGCTGTAGCAGTCGGAGTAGCGCTGGCGCTTAGAAAAAAATAACGGAGCTCTCTTGAGGAGGAGGGGGGAAGAGAGAAGAGAGCACGATCCAATTTTTGTAGTTGTGTTACCTAAAGGTTGAGCTGCCTGCTGTTTAATTGGACATTTGAGTAACTTAATGGTGATGGGGTGAGGTCGTTCAATAAGCCTCCAGCTATGGACAATCATGTTTTTAGTAGAATTGGGGTGGGGACTGGTTTTTCGTGATTAAAGTACAGGGGTATTTTTAAAAAAAAAAAACAAAAAAAAAATCTGCAAATTTAAGAACTTAAGTGCAGGTGCTGAAGAAAGGAGTGCTCGTACTCTAGAAACTGGAACAGCGAATCCCCAGGGGAAGGGGAGAGCCAGCTGCTGCCACCCCCTGGAGTTTTTGGCTTGTCTGACTGACCGCTATTGCAGCTGTGCTGTCTTGTCACTTCCCATCGTGGCACGCCCCCCCCAGCCCTCCCTAACAAACATTAGCCAACCTGAGTCTTGTAGCGAGAGGCTGGTCTCCCTTTTGTCTAGGCTTCCTCTCAGGTACAGCACTGCTCCTGGTAACCTCGCAGGTTCTTCCTAAGACCCAGTGGGAGAGTGCTTATTCTTACCTCTTTGCTCACAC